GTTAAATGACTTTACAAAGCATCTTTTAACATACTTTCCAAAACTTTTCCCACAACTAATGTGAGACTAATGGGTCTATAATTACTAGGACTATTTTTATCACCTCCCTTGAAAGGAGGTGGAGTTACATTAGCTAACTTCCAATCCTCTGGTACCTGCCCACTATTCAAGGACAGACAAAAAATAGCAGTAAGTGGCTCACATAACCAATATTTAACCTCCTTCAAAACCCCTTGGGAAATATTATCTGGCCCAGGAGCATTATCATTTTTTAAACTTCCCAATTTTTTCTTAACCAGCTGAGAATTAATGCAGTCATCTTGTTTGATCTCATTTCCATTTATCAACTGTTCAAGATGTGGAATATTGTATGCAAGGAATGTTAACATCTGTATGAATTGAAATAGTGATTTATATAATGCTAGTACTTGAATTTAAAACCAAAGAAATATTTTTCCAGGTATTGAACTGTTGTATATTTATGTTGTACATAAAAAGAGCAGGAAATAATATATCAATAAATGATATAATTGGTTATCTGTAGTTTTAAATAGTCCATTAAAAGATGGAAATTTTGAAGATTTTCAGACTTTTCAGATCCTGCATATTTTCATCCCTACGTAAAAAATAAAAAATTCTTACTCCTTATTTGACTTATTTTTTTAAAAAATCTCCATATGATTTCTTTCTATCATTCAACTAACCATACATAACATTAATGATTTAGGGGTTAAGTACGTTAAAAAAAAGCTTACAAGCACCCTTTATATCTATCACTATGGGCTCGGTCCCAGTGACCGACCTCGTAAACATTTTGTGCTTGTTATAGTTTTCATGCTATAACTTTTAATACAGTAAGTGTATCTTCAAAAAATTTTATAGATTATCAGTAAACATTACAAGGCTTTCATACGCAAAATATCAGACTTTTTTTTTATTAACTTTAATATTATTTAAGTAATGTTTTTCTCATTACTTTTTTCTTTTCGAATGTTGGCTATCCGACATACAAAGCAATTTTGATTTTAAGATTAAAAATACTTTTATACATCACAAAATGTTCAAATTTCACATGCGAAATCTTTATAAACTCCAGATAATTATCAAACATTTGTTTGTAGTAAAAACTTTATATTTCATCTGTCATTTTCACTGTTGTATCTCTGTACTGATTTTGTTGATTTGAACGACCATGTACCCACCATAAAAAATTAGGAAATAGATATAAATTATGCTTTTTTTCATTCTAGAATGACTACAAAGTATAACACGAACACACAGATGTTCAGCTTAAATCTCGCAACATTGTGCATCTGTATATATTTATTATTTTTATTTTATTGACCTTTCAGCCGTGCCTAACTAACATTACATAAGTTGCAATGATGCAGTGCATGTGCACTCGTGTTACCATACCCAAGAACATGAAACTGGCCTTTACAAAGTGACCTGTCTTGGCTGTGTTCTAGTGGACCAGTATTTTGTAAAATACAGTCACATTTCATTTATAATACATCATATATGTTATTACTGTTTACAAATAAGTTCTTAAATTTCAGTTTTCTTAAAACATTAAATGAAGGAACAATTATCTCTTCTAGTTACAAACTTTGTACTCATTTGCTGTTTGCCGTAAATTGCTAAGCGTTATCAAATTTTGCACATGGAGGATGTAAAACAAAATACTTTTTTTTAGGGTTTATATATGAATTTTGAAATAACAAAAAATCATAAATTACTATATGAATACCATAGAATTCCACTAATGTATCAAGCTTAGTAACTAAGCTGTATTTGGGTCTAAAAAATATGTATTTTTGAGCTCCCTAATGTCTTACCTTACCGCTTGGAATCTAACATGAAAATACTTTGTAGAGACTAAGATAACCACTAAGGGGACATTCTGAGCTTTTGTCTTACCTAATGTCTTACCTTACCGCTTGGAATCTAACATGAAAATACTTTGTAGAGACTTAAGATAACCACTAAGGGGACATTCTGAGCTTTTGTCTTACCTAATGTCTTACCTTACCGCTTGGAATCTAACATGAAAATACTTTGTAGAGACTAAGATAACCACTAAGGGGACATTCTGAGCTTTTGTCTTACCTAATGTCTTACCTTACCGCTTGGAATCTAACATGAAAATACTTTGTAAGAGACTTAAGATAACCACTAAGGGGACATTCTGAGCTTTTGCTTATCTATGTATTACCTACCGTCTGTATC